AAAGGTTCTCCAGCTCAATGATGCAAATCATGAGCACTGGAAAGCCAAATTTGTAGATGGTTTACCAACCTTCTTTGCTGAAAGAATCAGGAAAAAGCTTAGAGATATGAATAATGGTATCTCTATCCCTTACAGCAACTATACCTATGGTGGATTAGTCAACATTGTAATCCAGGAAGGTCTAGCTCTCTGTAATGACCTGAAGTTACAATCCCAGTTAAAATCCCAAAGATTAACTGGTCGAAAGGAAGTAGGTGAATTTTGTGATCAATTTGCCTACCAGACTCCCTTATCTTATCCTAAACCTAGGAAAAGAAATAAGGTTGAAAAACCTTATAAAAGGAAGTATTCCAAACGAAAGAATTATTCAAAGGAAAAGGATAATTCTAGACAGTATACTAAGCCTAAAAGGAAATATACTCCTAAAGCAAAGGGTAAAGGAAAGCCCAAAGCTAAGGCTAAATGTTTCAAATGTGGACGTATTGGCCACTATGCAAACAAATGTAGAACTAAGGAGAAACTCAGTAGTCTTCACATAGAAGAGGAACTGAGACTTCAATTAAGTAAATTGTTACTTAATACTAGTTCTTCTGAACCAGAATCATCAAGTGATTACGGAGATGTTGTCATGGAATTACAGTCTTCTTCTTCCTCTGAAACAGAGATTGAAAACCCTAGATGTTCCTGTAATCCTTCGCATGATGATTATTATAAGGCAATTGTTGAGATGAATGGGTTAAGCTTAAATGTTTTAACTTCAACTCAACAATCCTTATTGGATCTTATAGATCATATCCAGGATCCTCAAATCAAGATGAAAGTCTTTGAAATAGGTTCTGCTCTGGCAAGATCTAATGAGGATACGGATAATCCAAATTTTCTGCGAGCAGAAAATCATTACAGCATGAAAGAAGTTCTAAGCAGATTAGAACACCAAGGACAAAATTCTCGTCCTGCTAATCTCCCTGATCTTAGAATGGAGATTAATCTTTTAAAAGAAGAAATTCGTCAATTAAAGTCTCGTCAGACTACGATGGATTTAGAAATTACTCTTTTAAAAGCAAAATCTGCAATTCCATCTTCATCATCCAATGATGAAGTTCCTCAATCAGAAGGTACTAATTATCTTCAACTCTTGAATCAAGTTACTTACCAAAAATGGTATATATCTATCAATTTGGTAATTAATCAGGAGTACACAATCACTAATGCAATTGCCTTAGTTGATAGTGGTGCAGACATGAACTGCATACAGGAAGGATTGGTTCCTACTCAATATTTTGAGAAAACCACTCAAGGTCTTACCAGTGCAAGTGGAGGTAAGATGCAGATTAAGTATAAACTTAATCATGTTTTCATTTGTAAAGAAGGTATTTGTCTACCATCTACTTTCTTACTCATCCGAAACATGGCACAACAAGTTATTTTGGGCACTCCCTTTCTAGCTTTGATTATGCCAATTGGGAAAATTGATTCTCATGGAATATGCTCTACTTTACATGGCCAGTCAATTACTTTCCAGTTCTTGACCCCACCAGTAAATAAGCATATCAATGCTCTTAGAGATAATATTATCTTTAAGGAAAAACAACTGAATTATTTGCAAAAGGAGGTATCCTCCTTAGCAATTAATCAAAGATTGGTACAACCCACTGAGCAACAGAAAATTGAGTCACTACGGCAACACTTTCTAAAGGAAATCTGTAGTGAGATTCCTAATGCTTTTTGGGCCAGAAAGAAGCATATTGTTTCTTTACCCTATGAAAAGGGGTTTACCGATAGCATGATTCCTTCTAAAGCTAGTCCCAGCCACATGAAAGCTGACTACTTGGAATTATGTAAAACTGAAATCAGCTCTTTAATGGCTAAGAAGCTTGTCACTACTAGCTACTCCCCCTGGAGTTGCAGAGCTTTTTATGTCAATAAAAATGCTGAAAAAGAACGAGGAATTCCTCGATTGGTTATTGATTATCGGCCACTTAATCTTACTTTAAGATGGATCCGATACCCAATTCCCAACATCAAAGATCTTTTAGATAGGTTACAATCTGCTGTGATCTTTTCTAAATTTGATCTTAAATCTGGATATTACCAGGTACAAATTACAGAAGAAGACAGGTACAAAACAGCCTTTTGCGTACCTTTCGGACAGTATGAATGGACAGTAATGCCATTTGGATTAAAAAATGCCCCTTCAGAATTTCAACATATTTTGAATGACATATTTAATCCTTATACTGAATTTTCTATTGTTTATATTGATGATATTCTCATATACTCAAAATCAATCGATCAGCATTATAAACACTTGAAAATTTTCAAAGATGTCATTTACCGAAGTGGTTTAGTAGTATCTGCTCCTAAACTAAAACTGTTTTTAACTAAGGTCCGTTTTCTTGGTCATGAAATCTGTGATGGGAAAATTAGACCTATTAATCGCAGTATTGAGTTTGCTTCTAAATTTCCAGATGAAATAAAGGACAAAACTCAACTTCAAAGATTTCTGGGTAGCTTGAATTATATTCGCAATCACTACAGAGATCTTGCACAGGACACAGCAATTTTGTATACCAGGTTAAGGAAATCTCCTTCCCCATGGACTTTGGAACACACCAAGGCAGTCCAGAAGATTAAACTCAGAGCCAAACAAATTCCTTGCTTAGCTCTAGCTAATTCTTCATGGTTCAAAATTGTGGAAATAGATGCCTCCAATATCGGATACGGTGGTATTCTTAAACAGAAAAATCCGAACACAGGAACAGAGGAGCTTGTTCGCTTCACTTCAGGAACTTGGAAAAATGCACAATTAAATTATTCAACTATCAAAAAGGAAATTCTTTCTTTGGTTAAATGCATTTATAAATTCCAAGATGATTTAATCAATCAGAAATTCTTGTTACGCATTGATTGTAGTGCTGCTAAACAAGTACTGGAAAAAGATGTAAAGAATTTAGTTTCCAAACAGATATTTGCTGGTTGGCAAGCTGATTTATCTGCTTTTGATTTTTCTATTGAATATATTAAAGGCAGTTCTAATTCTTTACCTGATTTTCTAACTCGTGAATTTTTGCAGGGTTCATGAATCAGCCCCCCCATGGGCAGGGCCGGGGTAATACTCCAAAGGCTCGTGGCAAAAACAAGGCTAAGGCCAAAGTGGTTATACCACTCACTGATGATCAGTTTCCATATTTGGAGCATGTTGCTGATCTGCTCCAAACTCCTGCTAAAGGAAGCAGCAGTACCCAGCAAAACCATCAGAAATCAACCATGAAAGAGGTTCTTGAACAAGAAACTCCATGGATACCTAATCAAAGGTATATCCAAACAGTATTGGTACTGGATTCTCAAGATGAGCAATGGATGCCAGATCCTTGGGAAGTAAAATCCAGATATTTCCAAACTCAACAATATGCTGCACCGGATGGTCGCCATAGATATATCTATGAAGCCATTCTTACTGAAACTTCCTCTGTGGAGATCAACCACACGAAGCAATTTCCGAATTCCAAAGATAGTCCTCTTACTTATAGTAAAGCTATCTTTAAGAGGCTTATACGGCCTAGTGACTGGGGATTAAATCCCAATTTGCCAAGGAAAATATCCTATGGTCATAGTTACAATTATTGGGATTATATCTCAGCTTGGACATATTCGTTCTTTTATCAAAATCCGAAGCATAAGCATTCTTGGTTCCTCAAGATATGCCCCCAATCAGTTAAGGCTGATTTCCCAAACTGGGTTATACCCTGGTGGGCTATATTTGGCCCTGATCTGGATATGTTGCCCGAATCAATCAGTCAATTATATTTACCATGGCAACAATTTCATCCCCAATTACGGGGACAGGATAATATTCCTGTAGGGAAATCCACCCTATTGTTCTTTACTGAATTTGGAATCCCTTGGATTTGGAAATGGGATTTCCAATGTGGTTATACCACTGACAAGTTACCGGTCCTCCAGAGGATCTTTTATTACAGATGGTGGTCAGGCATGACTCAAGAACCTACTCAAGCCCTCCTCCATCAGATCAGAAAGAAAACAATGGAATATATGGATAAAATTCCAAAGTTAACTATTCCAGAACCCGAAATCTTTAACCCATTTGAACTTGTTAAAGATATGATCAGAAAATAACAACCATTAATTACTGAAGCTGATTTAATGGTTAAATGCATGGATTTTATGAGGAATAAATTTGTTAAATCCTTTGAATCCTCCACTCCTACAGTAAGAGATGATGCATCCATGGCGTCAGTCTCTAGCCAGACCAGCCAAGACGGTAATCAGTTTTCTTGTCTAGCAGGTTATGCACAAGATCCCAATGAAGATCTTAATTCTGAAGACGAAATTTCAATAGCAGACTATTGGGACTCTCTCACAGGACATTTGAAGGACAAGATGAATCCACCCAAAAAGTAAAGATTCCTCTTATCCTGCCGACAGAAGAAGACAAAGAACTTTTCCAAAAAGTCTTTGATTCAACAGTATTTCCTTCATCAGATGTCTACTTTCCATCAGAAAAGGAGACAGCACTTAGTGGTGGGCCGACTGACTGCATTATTCGAGCACACGATCCCATTTATATATATATATATATGTACTGTTTTATTCACCATTTAATCTTAAAATTTGAGCCGCTGCAACTTGATTATTAATAGCATTATCAAAATGAGCATCAATTATTAGTATTATCACAGTGAGAGGGAGATGTGAACTCTTGAGATACCTTTACGAATTAAAAGCTTAATTAATTAAGCTGAATATATATTAATCTGATTAAGTTATAAGGTTTACGGCCAAAAAAACTCAAAAAAAAAAAAAAAAAAATTTGTTTTTCAGGTTTTTCAAAAGAATCTGCTCGTGTAATACAACGTCAAGGTACGTATAGAATAGAAAGTACAATATTTTTATAATTAATCCCATCAATGTTACTGACTTTTTTTTTTTTTTGAATGGCAACGTTACTGACTTTAATTTCTTTAAAAGATGGTTGGACAATGCCTTTGTGGGAAGAAATTCTAAAGGAAAAGGTAACATATGAATTAGCTAAGGAACTCGCCAAATTCTTAGTTAAGAAGGATACTACATCATGGAAGAAAACTAATGCTGTGGAACAGTCATCCCAATATCTACCAAAGACAAAAGCTGAGGGTGGTGAGGCCCAAAAGGATGGAAGAGCAGAAATAAAGATTAATGAGCAGAAACCGCCGAAGAATCTCGAAACACCATTATTTTTGGCGACTAAATCAGGCTGTGTGGACATTGTCGAGGAAATACTCAACTTGTACCCTCAGGCAGTTGAGTATGTAGATGGTGATGGGCGTACTATTTTGCACATAGCTATCAAGTACCGCAGAATAGAGATCTTTGATAAGGTGGAAAAGATTAAAACTTCAGTTAGGAAGCTAATACAAAAGACCGACAATGATGGGAATTCTATTCTGCACTTGGTTGGTGAGAAGACTGAATTCACGATTGAACAGATAAAAGAAAGTGAAAAGAAATCGAATTCCAGTCAGGGCAAGGTTAGAGACAAGGAAGAAAGTGAAAAGAATTTGAATTGCAATCACTGCAATTGTTGTAGATGTTGGGAAACGTGCAAGTTTTAAAAAAATTTCGAGAGATTTTGATTCATAAATCTTGATTCATCACATAGAGACAAGTTTTATGCAAAAATAAAAATATGATGTATCATTCAATTAATGGATTGAATACTTACATCAAAGGTCTGAGTAAACCTTTAAAACTTTCCTCTAAAGTGAATGTTCTCACTTATTGTAGATCCCTTAGCAAGATGCCTTCTCCTTGGATCTCCATCTTCTTGGTAATTATTTTGCCTTTAGGAATCACTCATAAGCCTCCATGAATTACCTTGGAAAACTAGGCTTGTGGGAGCCTTTATTAGATGAGACCATAAACCCTAATTTTCTAGAGAGAGAAAATTTATTCCTTTTTCCTTCTCATAAAAATCACCCCCTAACATATACATAGACCATGTATATTTATAGGCAACATAAAAATAAAGAAAAGGAAACAACAAATCCTTCTCCATCTCTAATTCATATGTCTCAAATCTAATATGATTCCAATATCAAGTTGGGCTATGAGTGAGAATCCATTGGGCCTATTATTTTATTGGCTACAATGAATTAATAATTGGCCCGGTCCATGGACCCAATTCAATTAATTCATAAATTAATTTCTACTCCACTAAAAGAAATTAATTGAACTCCAATTAAATAATAAATAACCTCTAAGTCAATATTGCACTTTGACCCCTCTATGCATAATTAGTTATCGGATAAATATAGCCATCAATCCGACTACTTAATTAATATATTTATTTTGGTACCTTTGATTATTTCTGGCTCGATCACAATAAAACATTTGTTTGACAAAAATAATAATTTAAATAAATAAATATATAATAAATCATTTTGTCTAAAAACACACGAAGGCCTTCGAATTTACTTTGTGATCAACCATAATCAATACAAAATAAATACAAGTAGCAATGATGCAAATATTGAAAATATAACCCTCTAACTATTAATTACATAACTACCCAAAGTGTCGGTCTAAGGATCCCGAAGAATCCGCCGAACAAATCAAAGTAATTATTAATTAATAAAAGAGTCTATACTTTTCTCATGCTTAAGAGTCAAATGCCATGACGGTGATAGGGAGTAATTGCATACGACGGCTCTCGCAATATATCTCAACCTAACGCGGATCCAGTTCAAGTCTTAATTAATTATGAGTCCATCCATAATTACCGACTATGAACAATTTATAATTACTATTTATATATCATGCATTGATTGCCATCACATACATATATATAAATATTTCTTGTAATTACATGGACACTATCAATTTCATAGTGAATCGAAACATAATACATTGAATTCACCAATTGTATAAAACATAAATATTTCAGAAACGTCAGGAACATATATCAATTAATCCAAACAGGAATTTGCTATGCCAGGGCATATAAATCCCAACAGTAGAGACAATGAAGAAGATCATAATACACTTAAAGAGACGAAGGGAAACCTTCTTCTCCAATTGCAAGAGGATTTGCTCTTATTTGAGGTATGCATTTTCACTTCTATGGTTCCATTTATTGTTGTAAATAATATGACATCGTACTTCCTTCAACTCCAATATCACCTTTTTACTTAAAATTTAGGTACTGAATAGGCAGTTTCGGGGTTTCTGTAACTTCTACATTTTATTTACTTACTCATATATTAGTTAATTACACAATGCTGATTCTTCCCACCTGTGTACATGTTAAGAAAAAAAGATCCAAGACAAACATTTGTCTGTCCAAACTTTTATTATTGTGCCAGGAAATGGTATTATTAATGCTCTCACTTGAAACAATTGTGTTTGAATGCAGCGAGTAAAGCAAATCTGCTCAGAGCATTTCTTCAACCATGTCAACTGTAAGGGGCAAACTGCTGAACAGGTATTTGCTCTGAAGAGTGAAAAACTTCACTCGGAGGCCAAAGAATGGTTAAAGCGTACGTCAGAATAAAGCTCTCTTGTTGCTGTGCTCATTGCCACTGTTGCCTTTGCCGCGGCCTACACGGTACCCGGAGGTTCAAATGATCAGACAGGCGCTCCAATACTTCTCAACCAACCTTTGTTTGTCATCTTTACCATCACTGATGTCCTTTCCCTGACATGCACTTTAACTTCGTTAGTTATATTTTTGTCAATTCTCACATCAGCTTTTCGGTTGAGTGACTTCAAAAACTCCCTTCCACAAAAACTATTGTTAGGGTTAACATTTTTGATAATGTCTGTATCAATGATGATGTTATCATTCGCGGCCACCATCGCTCTTATGATACATAACAAGGAACAGTGGACTAAAATCGCCTTGTGTGCCGTTGCGTTCCTTCCTGTCACTGTCTTTGCTTTCTCATACATGCCTCTATTTATCCTCCTTGCAAACTTTTAAGTACATTGTCAAGAAAATAGAACCTGTTGTTCCTCGGTATAGTGGTTTTAAAACCACTTTTTTGTGTTTTACTCGAAAATCCAAAACAAAAGTTCCCCCCACACCCACACTGCAAGGTGTTTGAAAAGACAAGTGATCGATGGATCTCAATTACTACTCTCTTCCGGACCCATTGCCAATTATCTTTACTGAAATTGTGAGCTTGCTGACTATTGTTGATGATTACTGCTGTTTTCGTTTTCTATGTTTTTACTTTTTGTTAAGTGAATCCTAGCTTTAATAATTTCAGAATTTTCAATATGTATGTGTAAACTTGGACATCACGAGTGCTGGTTTGTGTTTGTGTTTTGCACTTGTCTGTGTTTCTCTTTAATGTCATATCGAATAACTTTTTAACAAATGAATTCACAATTTGAAGAGCCAAAGTCCAAGTTGGTTTTTGAGTCTAACGGTAACTGGTTTAACGGTCAGCTGAACTAAATGGGCTTGTTTATGCGCCCTTTTTGGGTTTTAAGGGTCTTCCTTTCTGTGGCTGTGTTTGATCAGCCTTTTGAGTGCCTGGTCCTTTATTTTATTTTATTTTATTTATTTTATTGTTATTATTATTATTATTTTTTAGGGATTCTCCGGCCTATATAGGATGTGTATTCTTTTTTTCTTTATACATATACTTTTGCTTATATATAATAATAATACATATATCTTGCCTGAATAATTCAAGCAAACACGTAAGCATTCATAATATTGCTCTTAGTAGAATTCTAACTCCTAACCTCTTATTTTGAGAGAAGATATCACACCATCTAAACTAATAAGTACATGGAATTTGCATGAAGCTGAAATACGTACTTTTGTCATGCGTAATAGTAACGTGGCAAACCCATGGATGACCGATTATTCATGGCCTAAATCATTGAAGTCTTACAAGAATAATTTGGAATCAAGGAAAGAACTTAATGGTAGTGAAAATCACAAAATCATTGAAGTCTTGCAATAATAATTTGGATAAAAGAAATTATTACTTTCAACTGGACTCCATAATTTTGAAATAAAAGAAACAAAAAGTCATCATCAAGTGATCGAGTGATGGCAATCAGGAGGTGGGCTTGGAGTTAAGCAACCATTCTTTGATCAAGAAAGCGTAATAGCTCACTGATTTAGATCCATGGCACCAAAAAAGTATCTGGGCTAAAGTAGTTTTGGTTTGATGCAAATCTGTGCTACATCCTGACCTAATTTTTCGAATATTTATATAAACTGATCTCAATATTTTACATCACATTCTCAAATCTGACTGTCCAACTAGTTTCCCAGGGCCTAGCTGGGTGAATTTCAAAATTAATGCCCTAAAGACGAAGAACAAGAAACATATTGAAACTGTGCTGCTTTTTCTCAACAATGAGATAAATCCAAAGTATCATCAACGAAATTGTTCAAGATCAATTCCTTTCGGCCCTCTATCAGAAACTTTTTTCAGTTTTCTTCAACAACAAAGACTTGAAGAGGACTCTCAACAAGATACACCCTTTTTATTGTAAAGATATTCACAGTGGACTGTGTCCATTAGGTTTACAAAATTAATAAAATTATTATTTGCTCCATATTTAATTCTTTATTTTGCATATACGAAATTTGTGTGTACAACTTATTAAAATATACTTTAGTATAAAACGATATTGCATCAATAGTAATTTTTTCATAAAAAATGTCGAGATTTACCAAAAATGCTTCATCTAGAAATTTTACGTTCACCCTCAACTTGTACCGGCTAGTTGTTAGAGGTTTGTCCCACAACTGATCCAGATGGGAAGTGAAATGAGTATATATGGGTTATGTATTAGTCCCACCTAATAGTTTTAAGTTTTTGGATCAGATCATGGAACACTCATTATAGTTGGTATCAAACCCACTCCTTAATCTGATGTCACACTAAACGCCCGCCAGGAAAGTATCCAAGTGGCCCAAGTAGAGGATGTTGCGAGTTGAAAATGGTAGCCTAGTTTGCTTTCAATTATTATTATTATTTGATTTAGTTACTTTCCATTGTTCATTCCTTTATTATTATTTGATTTACCATTGTTCATTCCTTTATTATTATTTGATTTAGTTTCTTTCCATTGTTCATTCCTTTATGTTATTGCATAGAGCTTGTTCCCACATCAGAAGAGTAATGTATGAAAGTAAATATTAAAAGCAATAGTTATGAAGAGCAACATGTAGAGGCTTGAGAATTCAATGTAGTCTCATGGAACCGGCCGGTATTGGCCATTATACCTGCGGTTCTGTTGTGATACTGGATGCACTGCGGCACTATACCGGCCATCCTTGAAGTTTGCTTTCATACAAAAGTTTGTCATACACAGTGAAAGTAAGAGGACGAATTTGATTATGTTGTAAGTTAAAAGGACTAAATCATGACATGCACTTGTTTCGACAAGGTAACATTGAGATCCCTATACAAATAATAAATACAAATTAATAATAATATGCAAAAAAAAAAAAAAAAAAAAAAAGGGCCATATATTTCATTTTGAATTTTGAATTTTTTTTTTGGGAAAGTTAAAAGTTAATATTCAATATAATAAAAGTGTACAGTACAGTCCGTAGGAGTTAACCCAATGCTAACTTCAGAAAACATGCAACCCCACAAACAGATGTGTATGATCATAAGCATCAACACAGCAATCCGGTGCTCATGGACTCATGGAGGATGATTCCAACAATGCTATGTGTAGCTTAGCTCCTGGAGTCTGGTGGCTTCTTTGGAGGACGAATCACTGTATCAGGAAGCTCCCATTCAGTAGCTATTCTTCTTGTTATGTGCATCACGAGCATTCTGAATTGTTATATTTACCATAAATCATTTCACTCTTAGAGTCGTATACCTTATTGCCATCAAATAAAATCTAGCTTTAAGCTTTTTAATGAAGTAAACACATCTCTGCAGCCATGTCGATCTATTATGAAAGTTTACTAAGGCTGTTAAATGAGAAGTCCCAAGAATTGTTTATAGGTGATGTCCTCAATATATATAAGTGATAATTAACTATAATTGCATTATGTGAATGTTAACACCTAAAATATTATCCAAAGTAATCATGCCACATGGTCGAACAACCCGAGATCTGAACTATGGATCAGCCCATGATCGTCGAGGGGAACAATTAATTTTTAATCATGGTGGTCGGAATTCAGGTCGAGATTTAAGGTCATTAGAACTGAGATAAGGTGTTGAGCTCATGGCTAACAATGACGGAGGTTCCATCGATCACTAGGCTGACGGAGGTATGGCTGATGGAGGTCCCATCGATCACTAGGCTGATGGAGGTCCATTGACCATTAGACTGACGGAGGTATGGCTGGTGAAGGTCCCATCAATCACTAGGCTGATGGAGGTCCATCAACCATTAGACTGACGGAGGTATGGCTGACGGAGGTTCCATCGATCACTAGGCTGATGGAAGTCCATTGACTATTAGACTGACGGAGGTTCCATCGATCACTAGGCTGACGGAGGTTCCATCGATCACTAGGTTAACGGAGGTATGGCTGATGGAGGTCCCATCGATCACTAGGCTGATGGAGGTTCCATCGATCACTAAGCTGATGGAGGTATGGCTGATGGAAGTCCCATCGATCACTAGGCTGATAGAGGTATGGCTGACGGAGGTTCCATCGACCATTAGACTGATGGAGGTCCATCGACCATTAGGCTGAAGAAAGTTTCTCAACCATCATGACCTAAGATTTTCTATGGTCATAATCAAGAGTCTCAGTCACTATGACCTAAGAAATCTCTCGACCAACCATGGTCAACAGTCTATACTGGTGATCGATCAAGGGTACACCTAAGTGATGGACAAGCTTAGATTAGGATGGATATAATATCTTTTCGAGCCATAGTCACTTGAAGAATATTTGGTGTAATTCAAATAAAGAACGGCTGTGAATCCCAATGTCTCAAGAATAAAACAAGTCAGGCCTGGAAACCTAAAGAAAACTTGAAATAGAAAAAGACAACTTGACCATGTCAAAAGTCCAGAGGTTCAGAACTACAGATGGAAGGTTCTTACCTACATCCCATGAAAAAAGTTAGAATTGTCAGTAATCAGATGATGCCAAGCCAATGTACAGATCAAGCCAAGCATGACAGATCTATAGAGCTGAAAATGGCTTGAAGACCAAAATCATCAAGTATGAAAGAATATGCACCACTTAGTCAATAATACTATGTCAGACACATTTGTATCTACCCATAGAGAGATGTGCAAGTCAGTCAACCTGACTAGCTCAGCAAGATGGTTAGGAGAAGTCATTTTCAGCTTACAATCAATTAATTTCTAGAGAAACGGTTTGAAAGGGACAACACCAGATAGAGGCTTCTATAAATACCCACTCAGGGCTTACAAGGAGGGGGTCGAAACCATTTCTAAAGTTCAACCTTTAGCATTCATATCACTTAGACTTAGCTTTTATTTCATCAAGTTCAGTTTAGCACTTAGCTTTTATTTCATCAAGTTCAGTTTAGCACTATCAGTTCAGTACTTAGTTCATCTTTCAACATTCAATAC